AGTGGCTGCCTGGCTCTTGCACACGCCACTCCCTCAGGCTCAGCTCAGGTGTCACTTCCACTCAGCTCCCACCAACAGTCCCACCTCCTCCCAAGTACCTACCCTTCCCAGGCTCCCTTCGCACACACCTGCTGTGCACACCTGCCGGCGGGGGCTCTCTGGGCTCCTGCTCGCCTCCGACTCTAGCCCCTCAGCCTGGCCCAGGCTGGCCTGCAGGAAACTGTGCCAGTGACCTGCACTCCAGAGCCCCTGAGACACTCAGTCTTGACGTTGGGGACCCTCCCCAAACTGCCCCCACATACCCATCTTCCTGACCAGAGGAGCTTGCTGAGGATGGCACCACAGCCCCTCTGGAAGGCCGCACCTGTTAACAGGGCCAGGCAGCCAGCGTGGCTCACAGGCACATGCCCGCTGTAACCCACGGTCTGTGCACCTCCCACGTGGGCGTCCTACCACGCCTACGTGAGGCTCTCACATCCTTGGGACTTGAAGGACAAATGAAACATCTCAAAAAGGAGCCCCATCTGCCTCCTCTCGCTAGGAGAGGACAGGGGCCCCCCAGGCCTGACACCAACAGTCCTATAGGCCTGACTCCAGAAACAAGGAGCCCCTATGGCTCCTCCCCAATTATCCCTCCGGCTGAGGTCCCCAGGGGCTCGCGCTGGCTGCGCCCTGCACCCACAGAGACAGACCGGAGACCCAGGCTTCTCCTAGCAGGCGCCTGCTGCTGCCTGGGAAGCAGAAGGGACAGCTCTGTGGCCCACTCGCATGTACCACCTCCTGGGCCCCAATTCTGACCCAGAAGGCAATCTCCATTAAAAACACACTCGTGGGTACGTACCCCCAAGAAGTGCCTGAGGACGCTGGGGAATTGCACTTGCAATTACCCAGAGAGAACACCCCCTGAACGGACAGTGGGTGCCGGGCCCATTCCCACCACAGGCAATGACAGCTACAAACTCAAACCACAGCAATCGCAAGGCAAATTGTACAACCGATGTTGAGCACAAGAGGCAGGACCAGGAAGGATGCAGACAGGACCTGGGGATCCACGCGGGCTGGGGGCAGCCTGCAGAAGGCTAAGCTGCAGGCAGAAGCAGAGCCAGGGGCAGGACAGTGTGTTCATGTTTGGCTAAGCAGCAGTAAACGTGAGCGTGTCACAGGTGTGGGAAGCACAACACCCCATGAGGAGAGTCCCAAGACCACAGCAGATGGGGCGTGGGCTGGGGAGATGGCACAGGCCTGGAGAAGAGCCAGGGATGCCTAAAAAGAACTGCCAGCCCTTGGAGGGTCACCAAGCTGTGGAAGGCCATCCGAGGCTACAGCCTCAGAGCTGACAGGACACCAGCTTGCTCAGCAGGCCAGGTAAAAGTCGGGGCTGAGTGAGGGGCTCCATGCTGAGTAAGCTGCTAGGTGCCCTGCCGTGGAGGTCCCGAGTGCCCATCCGGTACGGCCGCCCCAGCCTTCTTCCCACCTGGGCCACCACCAGGGCTGGAGCACGGAGGGCCGGGCGACTCCCCTCCCGTCTTCCTTCCCTTTCAGTCAGTCATCATCAGCGTGACCAGTCCCTCCACAGCTCAGTCTACCGCCTCTAACAGAATGTTTGCATGTTTTAGTATGCCTGGAATCGGGGCTGCATCTGGCAATCGGCAACATGTCAAAGTTGAACTGACAGCGGCTCTTCTTTCTCAGTGGACCATGAAATACGGCGTGGCTCCCAATGGCTGGGTCTCAGATGGGATGACACTCCACGACAGCCCCGTGGCCTGGGGCCCTCCCTCCAGCACCAACTCCTCAGGTCCTCCTTCCTACTCCCACCACCTCCCCTGGCCGACATCCACACCGCACCCCGTGCCGAGCCTCCCCCAGCCTAGGGGACACAGGGACACTCTTTCCCCAAGCCATACCCCAGCAGGGCATCGCCTGGGCCCTCTGCTGCCATTAAGCCCACCCTCCAGCTCCAACCTGTTTTGTCAGGTGTCACCTGCTGCTATACCCCACCCCAATCCCAAACACAGGCTTTGCCATAAGACCACCTCCTGCCGGCCCTCCCTCCCTACAGGTGACATTCCAGTCTGTGCATCCTGTGGACTTGACTGCTTATTGCCTGTGACTGTCTAGCCTGTAGGGCCGGAACTACCCAGTGCCCAGAGGTCGTCTACCCTGCTCTGCTGCCCCCAGGCAAGCCCCTCTAAGTGTCAGGGCATCAGCGTCCTCCCCCGAGGAGAGGCAGCCCCCGGGGACGCTCGCCTGCTCCAACAAGGACGGAAGCAGAGCCACGTGGGCCACACCTCAGGGAGGTCTCCCGTGGCTCCTTACCCAACACGACAATGGACACAGCAATCGTATACCGTATTGTTCGACTGGACACTTCCGAGAATGACAGGGATGCTTCTGGTTATTAAACTTGAAACCGAGTGACCTGGGCACCTGGAATGCAGAGCCAGCCCACTCGCAGGGAGGTAGGGGCCACGAAAACAAAGGGGACTGGAAGTAAAGACCGCTGGGAGCCACAGCACACACTCATCAGGGCCACTGACACACAGTGCACAGTCCCCACAGCTAGGCCAAGAGGAGGGCACCCTGACAACCCCGTCTCAGAGGGTGAAGGAGCTTCGGAGTAGAGGTGGACCCCACCTGACTCCCAATCCCTGCCCCTCCCATGGCCTCCCAGGGCCACAGCAGTTGGGCCCAAATGCCCCAGCTGGCCTGAGCCTCTCCAGAGCCTGCCCCAGCGCTTGCCTGCACCCCACGGCAGGTTCCCAGACTCCCTGAAACACCCACTCCCACAGACATCCCTTGCGTTCCACTCGGAGACTCACCCTCCACTCCAGATAGGGAGGGGAGTCTCACTGCATGGATTTGTGCAGAATCTTCCTCTTCCATGGGACCAAGGGCTTCAGAGACTTCCTGGGGGGAGGCAGGGGGTGGGAGACAGAGAACACAGGGTGCAGGGTGGGCCAGAACCCCAGTCTCTGGCCTCCTAGTCTCAAACTCCTTCCCACACACAGCCATATGCCGAGGGACACGACACGAGGTGAGACCCTGCTCTCCAGTGAAGTGACAATGGATGTTCCGGAATCAATGATGCCACTACTGCTCTGTATTCCTTTGGAGTTTCTGATATTCAAATTTTCTTTGACTCCTTTCCCTTCATATTCCGTGTCTTTTCAGCCAATGAGACTTCTATAAAAAAAACATCAACTACCCAAGTACATAGCAGCAGATCAGTGCTGTTACAGCCACCAGAGGCCTGCTGGTCCTTGAAGACCCCTAGGCAGAGCCTTCAAGCACTGCCCCAACCCCTCACTCTCCTTCCTGGGTGCCAGCTGCAGAGCAACAGCCCGGAGACCCTGTATCTGCCTCTCCATCCCTGTCCTACTCGGAAACCTCAACATCTTCTGACTCACTCCAAATCCAGCCACATCCTCTAGGAAGACTCAGCTCCTGCTTCCTTCCCAACCCACCTCCCACCTTCTCTAAACATTCGCAACACTTTCCACCCAGAAGTCCACTCACTGAAGCCCATCTCCACTCGTTGCCCAAGCTGCCCCCTCTGTCCAAAACGACCCTACTTATCCTCGGGTTGGAAAGCCCACCTTCTCTGGGGAGTCTATTTTGAGGCGGGATGGGCACAAGCACAACCTGGACTGCTTCAGTAACTAGAGACGTGACACCTGCGGCGCCATCCCGCCCCGGCGCCCCAGCCCATGGTCGTGCTCGGGAGCCACTGCCCAGTGAGCTCCGCGGGGCACGCAGAAGCCGGTCCTATCCCCTAGGCCCCGCACCTGGCGCAGCACCACGGCACGGGGAGCCCGGGAACGCGGGGAAAGCAGGATAACAGACGGAAGGGCCTGGAAGGCTGCGTTCCAACAACCAGGAGGCATCCTCAGAAACATTCCCTTTGGAAAATGGGGGCAGCAGGACGTGTGTCCACCTCAGCGGCAGGAGCTTTAGACAGCGGAAAAGGGCGGGCCCCTAGAGAGCGTCCGGCGCGGGCAAGTGCCCGGCTTGTCCCTTCCAAGTCCCACCCCAGCCCCAGGGAGCGCGAGGGGCCGCGCCACTTGCAGGACGCGGGGGCCCCGGCGGCGCCCGGCAGGTGGGAGGCGGAGCGCAGGAGGCCCTCGCGGAGCCCAGCCGGCCCGGCCTCCCGCCCGGTCACTCCCCCTCGCGGCGGCCCCGCCCGGCCCGGCCCAGCGGGGCTCCCGCGGCCGCGCGGCGACACCAGGGCGGGGCCGAGCCGCGCCCGCCCTGACCCGCCCCTACCCGCCGCCGGGCGCCGCGTTCGCCTCACCTCGCCCGGAATCGCCGCTGCCGCCTCTTCCAGCTGGGAGGCCCCGCCGGAAGTGACGCCACAACCGGCGCGCAGGCGCAGGCGGAGCGCGAGCCGCGTGACTACCCGGCGCGGGGGGGCGGGGCGACACAGGAGGGCCGG